TTAGCCGGTGCGTTTCGAGAGGAGGTTGTCGTCGTGGGTCATCTTGACGGCGTGGATGTAGCCGAACGACGCGTCGTGGCCGAGCATCTCCACGTAGAGGAGGCGGATGATGTACTCCTTCATCTTGCGTTTCGGGATGTCGGGCTCGACGATGCGTCGTTTGAGGGTCTCTATCTCGCGCACCACGATGCGGTCCTCCTCCGCCTTCGATCGCGCCTCGCCGATGGATTTCACCAGCTCCAGAAACTCCTTCGATTGCCCGAACCCGCCTTGGGATCCCATCGCGAGCTCGCGCCCGATCGTCTTCAATTGCTCCATTTTCGCGCTTTCGCTGGCTCGATCGGGATCGGAATTGGGGCTCCGTGGCGCGGAAGCACCAGAGTAGTTGCAGAGAGGGGTGTTGGGTTTGGGAATTGATGCGTGGAGTGTGAGTGAAGAAGATGAGGAAGAGGAAGACGGGGAGAGTGAAACGGCGTCGTGTCGGGCGGAGAAGCGGAGAAGCGGTAAGAGACCAAAGACACTGGCTGCTGCGGGTGAAACCAAAATCAAATAAATTGATATTTTAATTCGGAAACAACCGAAATTGTTTCGAGCAGTGTGGTAAACTCTGATGGATGTACCACTTCACCACATTTGAAATTGAAAACATTGACTTTTGAAGAAGGTAAAAAAAAATAAATAAATAAATAAGTTTGAGTTTTTTTTTTCTATAAATATAAATAATGTTTTAAGTCTCATTGTTTTTTTAAGTATTAAGTTCTTATGATAATACCCAAAAATGTTGATATAGATTATTGGATTTATCATATGATTTAAAATTGTTGGAGTTGAAACAATATATCAAAGTTTTTTATTCTCATACGATTTTGATGATAATTATGAACATTAAAAATTTATACTAAAATCTTTGCTAAAAGAAAATTTTTCATTAACTATCTAAAATGAAAGTCAAGGTATACAATGATTCTTTATTAGATTGTCCAAAGGTTTTTGTGACATAAGCGTCTAACATTTTTAATCTTGTTTATAAGTGTTGGATATATGTTTATTTTGATTAGTATAATGGTCTCAAATTTATATGTGCAACTAACATATACACATTGTTAAGAAAAAGAATATTGTCTAGTTATACTATATGCAACAAAAAAAAAAAAGTTAACTATGTTTAAATAATCCTTATATGGAAAAAAAACAAAAAAAAAAAAAGTTAACTATGTTTAAATAATCCTTATATGGAAAAAAAACAAAAAAAAAAAAAGTTAACTATGTTTAAATAATCCTTATATGGAAAAAAAACAAAAAAAAAAAAAGTTAACTATGTTTAAATAATCCTTATATGGAAAAAAAACAAAAAAAAAAAAAGTTAACTATGTATTAATCATACTTATATGGTAAAAAAACAAAAAAATAAAAAAATAAAAAATAAAACATTTTATAAATGCTTATTTAAAAAGTGTTGTGCACGCCTGCCTTGCAAATACAATTATAGTAAAGTTCTCTTTCTACTTAGCACATAAGGATAAATGCATCTATTTTACATCCCTAAGACGTGCAAAAGAAGTATATATAACAAACGCTTTGTCCCCCCACTCTTGTCTCCCAACGTATCTATTTTGAACACTATATAAAAAAGACCCTCAATATTGCACAAGTAAGAATTAAGGAATCAAAGTGATTGAATATCATTTTTGTAGAGTGCCCTTCTAATGACAATTTTTGAAGAAATGGATGATGATTCCTTCTCTAAATTGCTCTAAGTCTGTTAGATCTTCCTTGAGATGATTATAGACGTGAAAAGGTCTAGAGAAGAAGGTTGAGACGTAGAGATATGAAGAAGGGAAGCACCTAAGTCAAGGAGCAAAAGATTGCTCACAAGGTGTCTAACCTAAAAGCCTTCTAGGATCCCTAAATCTAGGCGTCTAAATGGACTTTTGCAGGAGAGAATTCAGTTGAAGCAAATGCTCTGAATATCATATATCAAAAGTGAATACAAATGAAGGAGGAAGTCCAAATTTATAGGCCAAGGAAGCATCATAAATGGCACTAATCCCAAGCACACCAATTGGCGCCGGAAATTTGAATTTCAAATGGTATTTGAAATTCAATTTTCTTGGCAACCACATGTGCCCTCCCATGTGTAGACCCCATTTGATTTAGGTTGCATTTAGGGTTAATTTGATGTTGCTAAGAGGTGATCATGTGCAATCAACCTTAAGCTAGCACATGTGCATCAAATGTAACTCAAATTACTCCTAAATGTGAACTAATTTAGCTAACTTTGCCTAATTGAGTTTTTTCTCTCAAAACCTACTCTAATAGCCTAAATACAATGGTCAACCTATCAAAAACACTAGAAAATAATAAAAGAATTAAAATGAGTCTAATATTGAGTACCAAAATACTTAAGGCCCATTAAGTTCAAAAATAGGCTCACTAAGCCTAAGACCCAAAAATCCTAATCTATGTGGCTCAAAATGCAAGATCGAAATATATGAAATCTATACTAATATAATATGTACAAGTAAGGTATCTCAATGTGTGGCTCAAGTGAATAGCAACTTGGGTCCACTAAGTCCACCGGGCCCACCAAGCTTTAAAGCAGCTAAATCATCATGAATCTTCCTAACCATGGTTTTGGTGGTTGGACCCTTGGTCCATGCTACTCCATCACTCCCTAAAGTTGTCAGCTCCTCAAAATCTCCAAAGTTGAAGGGTTGGGGATTTGTACTCCCGTCTCCGCTCAGCCCGACAGCTTCCTTCAAAGTTGGACCATCAAGCTTTATGAGCTTGTCCTTCACCACTGATTGCATTATCCCTTCATTGCTTGAGGTAAAGCATAAGAACAGCCTTATAAGCTCAATGTAATATGGTCCTTCCAGCTCCAAGAACTTCCCAAGTTCCTGGTGTTCCAAGAAAGGAGGAAAGCTAAACCCCTCATTCTTAAACATTCCAGTTTCAAGGTCTTAGGAGGGATGATTCTTCTACATGCATACCATTCAAAATAATACTCTTGGGTCTTCCACTACAAGAATTTCGCGGATTAGCGAGGGAATTTAGCGAGGGATATAAACCCAAGCTATTTGCTAGCTAATTAGCGAGGGACTGGCGAGGAATACAGTTCCTCTCTAATCCCTCACTAATTAGCAAGCAAATAGCTTGGATTTATATCCCTCGCTAACATTTTCAGAACCAGATAATCGATTATTTTAAAGGATAATCGATTATTTTGTTCTTCATGATTTCTAGAAATCAACCAAGAACAGATTAATCGATTATTTTGCAGGATAATCGATTATTCCAGAGAGTGATTCCTGGGATAATCGATTATTTCACAAATAATCGATTATTACAGCAAAGCATCCTTTTCACCTGTTGCTAGAATAATCGATTATATTTAATGATAATCGATTATTTTGAGTCAGTTTTCAAAAACTCTGTTTTATGTCTCAAAATAACTTTTCAAGTTTCTAACTCATCATCATACTCACTCTTAGTTAGATTAGATAAAGATTAACCCATGCACAAAGCACACACATGCAAAATAAGCTCAACAAAACAATACAACTTATGAGCTACTCCTATTACACAACATAATAGCCATATTTTCTTCTTTACTTTGTTTTTGACTTGTTGATGTCCTTGGTCAGCTTTGATTCTCAGAATCCATACTTTGTTATCATCAAAACCTTCATTCTCCAAGTTTGAGTTGATTCACCACTCCATGAATCTCAACAATCTTCCCCTTTTTGATGATGGCAAACCATACAAGCCATTTTGTTTTGCAAACCAGTGTTTCCACATTTTAAGTCCTGCAAAACAAGCTCAAAAAAAACCTTTCTCCCCCTTTGGACATCATCAAAAACAAACCAACATATATTTGTCCAGATTACACATGTATGAACTTATGCACAATACTCATTTGCTCATAATCAATGCCACAAGACTGACTTAATGCCAAGCAACATAGGCATTGTTCCAATCAATTAATACTGAAATTTGTGATCAGAAAATTTTCCATATTCATCAAGTGATCTTTAATCACAATATCTCAACCATATGATTCATCAGCAAAACATCATAAATATGCATTACATTTCAATGTTCAAAACAAAATATAGCATTATCAAATATACCAGCAAACACCAACATATATGCAACAACACTATCACATATCAATGTTCAAAAACAGAACATAGCACAATTAATCATTCAAATCAAAATTATCAAATCATTCCAAACACAATATAACCACAATAAAACTCACATTACATCAGAATTTAAATTGTTCAACAAAATAAACCAAGATAATTGTTCAGGAATTAAACCAATTACAACCCAATTGAAAAATAGAAATTTAAACTAAACTCCTAAAATCAAAATAGAACACTAAAGCACTAAAATCACTCCGAGTCTTCCGGCATCCCAAGTTGAGCCTTAATTTGGTTAATCTCATGATCAAGGTTATCAAACCGATCAAGAATACCCGAATAAATCGACTCGTGCCTCCTAGACATCTCCATTACCGCATCTAGCTTGTTAATCATAATTTTCTCAAATGGAGAGAATTCTTTAGGCTCCGATTCTTGTTCTTTTTTAGGTTCAAATTCTACTTGTGGTGGCTGATCTTCATCATGAGATGGAATGCCATCTTCATCAGTTACAGGTTCAGGAGTCGGAGGGACATCTCCCTTGAATACCTATTTGTCTTCCTGTTTCAGCATCCCCATATGATGCAAGGAAGATTTTTCAATCTTATTCAAGGCATGGAGAATTATCTTTTTCTCCCCTTTCAGATCCAGACCTGCTTTCTCAAAAATTCTAGACAATAACAAAGCATATGGTATTGGACCATCCTCCTTCCTCCTAGCCTTTCACATACAGTCGTTCACCACAGAAACCCAATCTATTTTAATCTTTTTCTTGATTACATGCATCAGCAAAATGTCATCCCTTGACATTTGAGCATGATTATGCAATTGAGGCTTAATCATCCAAGCTATGATAAAAGAAATTAAGCGTGAATTTTTCTTCATACCTCTGGCTAGAAATTTTGTATAGTTGGTGGTCTCTAGGTTCCTCTAACAGTCTCTAAAAGTTGTCAGCTCCTCAAAATCTCCAAAGTTGAAGGGTTGGGGATTTGTACTCCCGTCTCCGCTCAGCCCGACAGCTTCCTTCAAAGTTGGACCATCAAGCTTTATGAGCTTGTCCTTCACCACTGATTGCATTATCCCTTCATTGCTTGAGGTAAAGCATAAGAACAGCCTTATAAGCTCAATGTAATATGGTCCTTCCAGCTCCAAGAACTTCCCAAGTTCCTGGTGTTCCAAGAAAGGAGGAAAGCTAAACCCCTCATTCTTAAACATTCCAGTTTCAAGGTCTTAGGAGGGATGATTCTTCTACATGCATACCATTCAAAATAATACTCTTGGGTCTTCCACTACAAGAATTTCGCGGATTAGCGAGGGAATTTAGCGAGGGATATAAACCCAAGCTATTTGCTAGCTAATTAGCGAGGGACTGGCGAGGAATACAGTTCCTCTCTAATCCCTCACTAATTAGCAAGCAAATAGCTTGGATTTATATCAAGGCATGGAGAATTATCTTTTTCTCCCCTTTCAGATCCA